ATCAAGAAGATGTCCAAATTTGTTGCTGTACCTACAAAGCAACGTTGAAGCAAGGTGGAAAAAGAAACCCTTCTGATCCTAATGATGGACCGACTCTAAGGAACAAACATGAAACAAATTTCTCTCTAGAGGAAGTCCTAAAGGATTCGAAGAAACCAGATATCTCTATGCTGAACCTATCTTTGCCAGCGAAGGGTCCTTACACACCCATTTGTGCACCTAAAGCCTGAGTTTGGATTTATATTCCTTGACTATGATGGCGAACACAACTTTCAGAGAGTATTTGAGGTCCACCTCTGTCCTATAGAACATCTAGATTATCTAAGATACTGGTTGGACAATGACCTTTACTGTGAGACGATAGACCGCAAGATCAGAAGAGAATTTCTACGTCAAAAGATGCTTGGAGAAGTACCTGGTTACATCGACTTCAACGACTTAGACTAGTTAAAATTTTCTTATCTTGTAAATCTTATTTTTCTATGGTTTTTTTTCAGTGTACAACTTATATGTATAAGTCTAGAATGTACTGTTGTAACACTTGTATTTCTCTTTTTTGAATAATATAAGTCTTTCATCAGTATCACTGAAAAGATCCCTGAAAAGAGTAATAGGGACACACGTCTATGAGTTCCAATATGCTCTTACATTCACTGACAATCTTCACTCAGTGAACATGCTTTCAGTTTCCCTTTTTGTACTTTTTCTTAAACTTGTAAACTTAAGAAAAATTATATAGTAAAAATTGTATCACTGAAAAAGATCCCAAAAGAGTTAAAAGGGACATGTACTTTACGTGTAACTTTTCCTTATTATTATACCTTAAAGCAATTTTCTTTATGTTGCTTTGTCATTATCAAATAGGGGGAGATTGTTGATCATCTCTCTCATTGATTTGATGATAATCCCTTTTACCCATCGAAGTATTATGTTTTCGTCTATTCAGTTCCAGCGATCATCACAGAGTCTGTTTAGTGATCGCTGAAACATGTATTGTAATAATACATCGACAGTTATACTTCAAGAAGACAAAACTCACACCCAAGAACCTTCAGCAAAAGTTAAAGACTAGAACTGAAGACTAGTGACTAGTGTGTTCGTGATCTGAAGCGGTATTCAGTTATTACAACCTGATCAGCCTATGTGTGAAGACTGCACAAGCCTCAGTGAATGCTGAAGAGACCTCCAGTGTTATTCTATCATTCAGCGATCAAATGAAGCTTGCTATACAAGGTTGTTTTTGTCTTGTCCTTCCATACACAAAGGACAAATCCATACCCTTTAAAGAGTATAGTATAGCACGGAGCCAACTAGTCAACTCTAATGCACACCAACTCCACGAAAGGATGGCTGCTCATGAATAGACAATTGTACTATTCACTGTAGCAAAGGACAAGCTTTCCTATAAAAGCTTGACGCGTGTTCTGTCTCTTCTGAATTGCATTTAATGCAATGTGTATAAATAGTTGAGTGCTCTCTCCACTCATGCAATGCTGCGATACAAGAAAATTAGAATTTTCTCTAATTCTAAGATGCATACCCAAGAAGAAAACACTTATGTCATATCTTTCGGCAAATCTCGTATATTTTGCTAAGTGTATCCATGTGTATCTCTAGATTGTTTTAGATTGATTTTTCTTTACCTTGTCTATTCTGTAAACAATCTGTAAACAATCTGTAAAAATCTGTATTGATCTTTCTTTATCAATATATATTTTTAAAAGTGAAAGTTATTATGTTTGTATACGTCCCCCCCTTCTACAAACTGATCACCTCTAAACTCTTGTAGATCCGGCTGGGACCAACAATATTATAATATATAAACCACATGGAGCAATAATGTAATTTATTGTAGAGAGAGAAATATATAGAGATTTTTTTAGAAAATGTGAGTCCGCCAAAACCCTTATTTAACCAACCAACTCTTTTTAGATTTCAAAGGTGTCCCTTTCTTCCTTTAATGTAGCCATCATCATTTGTCAATTTTCCTCTATTCACTGACGTGGATTAAGCAATTACAACAATACAATTCAAATTTTAAGAATACTCACATCTGGTTCTAACTCATGTTATTTGGTGGTTGTAATTATATATATAAAAGATCTGTAGAACAATAGAAATTTTTGGGAACAACTATTTCATTGCTACACAAAAAAAAAAAGGATTTATAAGACAATCAAAGACATTGAAGTCACATTGGCTTTTCTTATTAATCAATAAATAAGTTTATGATTTGAACCAAGGCTTTATTTGGTTGACTTGAGGATTCAGTTTGTAGCTTTTATTGGTCATATCAATGATTTGTAGAAGTTTAGATTCATTGTTCTTTTGTATTGATCACAAATTGCACATAAATAGAAAGTGAACTTACTTTTATTGAATTATTGTTTTAGAAATATGTTATCAAAATTGACGTTTGGTCACAAATAAAGCACTTTGTCACCATTTAACCGACTAAATCTAATACGGTGTAGGTGAAAAGTGACGTGACACAACTTTCCTTTATGACCTCCAAGTTGCCAAATGTACCAAAATACATATGTGACTTCCTAAACGACTTCAAAGTTACAATTGATGTGTTGAGTTATATGCTGAGAGTGTACTTATGACCTATGCAAATTTTCAACATGACTTCCCAACAGCTTCCTGGATTGCAAATTGTGTACTAACCGACTTCCGTAGGCTACTTCCAAAGCAACATATAGCTGACTGTATATGTTATCGGACCAAATAAGGGGCCGTTTATATAAATGCTTACCCGGTAAGTGCTTAACATTAAGAGTCAACACTATAATTTTATTTTATTGGGTAAGATTGTAGTACATCAAAACGTATCATATACAACAATTTACCTGGTAAGCGCTTACCCGGGTAAGAGTCGTCACCCTCACTTACCGGGTAAGACTCTCCATCCTTATCATCGCTCTTACCGGGTAAGATTTTTGGCCCTTGCCATATTCATCCGGTGAGAAAAATTACCCGATAAGTACTTACCGGGTAAGCATTTAGTAAACGACCCCTAAGACTTGGTGATGAAGGAGCTAGGGTGTAGAGATAGGAGGTTTATCTAAGGGGCCATTTACCTAAATGCAGGCCCGTCCCTTGGCCTGTTAAAACTGTGATTGAGAACAGGGCCCCCAAAATTTTGGGGCCCAAATTCACATCCATTCCTTCTCCATGAAGACCTTCGTTCTTCCCGATTCATCCTGATTCATTGTTCTACATAAAAGTTCTGCCCTTCCTGATTCATCATTCTCATCATCGCCAAATTTATCTCTCTTTAAATTGCGTTCGAAGTATTTTCATATATTTTTTCCGGCGAGTCAAGGTGAGGCGGAGCCACGGCGGCTGCTTGCATTTCTTTCCAACGGCTACGGTATGACCTGTTTTGACGCTTGATAATATCTGTCCATTTTTTTCGACGACTATTTTGTTCATCAGACCTCACCAGAACATGGTTTTCCTCAACCATGATCACTGGTTTTCGGTCAACGTTGCATCTTCTTCCACCATCTGATTGAAGAAGCAACTTATTTACTTTTGGTTACTGATTTTGGTTACTTTTTCATTGCTCTTTATTTACTTATCTCTCAATTCCACAAATTATAGTCTAATTTCTTGTATTCTTAGCTTATTGTTGTTGGGAATTTGAAGTAATGCAACTGGTTTCCCCTCTTTTGAATTACCTGATATGAAGATTAATGTAGTTTGATTCAAGTTTTTTAACTGTTTGTTTTAATGTCTCTAAGAAATGGTATCCCATTGACTTGTTTCTGTTACTCTTTTTGATACACCCCTTTTGCCCAAAGTTCCAGCATTTCAAGATGATGAAATCACCCTATTTGGTAATATCTACACCTTTGTTTTAACCTTTTAAAATGATATTGTTTCCTTACTTTCCCCTATTCCCATTTCCCTTATTACAATAATTTATCTATCGTGTCCCATTTCTCTGATTACAATCAGATTAGTAATCTAATTGTCGTGCTAAAGTTGGGAACAAGTTTTTTTTTGTCATGTCCCAACCCATCCATGAAGATTTAAAAGTGAACTTCTTTTCTGGAAATTCGTATATACTTGACTTGAACTACTGAAAACAAAAGAATTCTCTGTCTTGATAACATAATCACGAGCTATGTCAATAATAACAAAGAAGTATCCAAGCAAAGGAACCATGGGACTCTTTGGGACAAACCCAATGGTAAAAGTTTCAATTGACCAATTTTAACTTTATATTTGTCTTGTTTATTGCTTGTTTTATATGAACTATAATAGTAATACGTGGTAACTAGTGTAACAGGACCTCCAAAAAGATTAGGACGGCCATGCCTAAATGCTTACCCGGTAAGTGCTTACCGATATGATTCAACATTATAATTTATTACGTAAGATTTTAGTACATCAAATCATATCGAATGCAACAAGTTACTGGGTAAGTGCTTACCTGGGTAAGAGTCGCCATCATGTACTATATAGACTTGTAAATGTTGATTTTGAGAGTATACTACTAAGAAGGAAAATTAAACGAAGTTGCATTTTGTTTAGGAGTCGAGATAAAACCTTACATGGTATGCGTTTATGGGCATTACTTACTTTTCATGTGAGCATGACAAGAACCTATAATATTACGTGGTAAAATGCATAACAAAGACCGAAAATCTTACCCAGCAAGTGCTTACTAGGTAAATAACTCACACCAACAATCCATTTTGATATACGACGATGTACCCAATAAGCTAAGTGAGGTTGGTGCTCTTGTCCGTAAATACTTCCCGGTACGCATTTATTAAACGACTCGATGGACAGAATTTGTTGTGCATGACTTGAATGTTATTTTGGGTTGCAACTTATCATAGAACTATAGGACCAAAAATGTAAACTTAGAAATAGTTCAGGGATTAAGCCTGTAAATTACTTCATTAAAAATAACTTGCCTGCTAAAACCATCGTTCCGTAGTCAACCGCCAATCCACCGAGTGACCCTAAAAGCTGCGTAATCTCTCTTCTGTCTCTCTCTCTCTCTCTCTGAATGCAATGAGGGGGCATGATTGGATAAATTCGAGGTTACCAGACGAGTTGATCTTGGAGATCTTCCGCAACCTCGATTCGAAGTCGAGCCGGGACGCGTGCTCTCTAGTTTGCCGGCGTTGGCTGACCCTCGAACGCCTCAGCCGTGATACAATCCGTATCGGTGCCTCTGGTAGTCCTGATGCCCTAGTAGACCTACTCGCTCGTCGTTTTCCTAATGTCACCAACGTTTACATCGATGAACGCCTTTCTGTCTCTCTCCCCCCCGATTTCGTAAGTTCCCCTTTTCATGATTTTGATCTGCTTGTTAGGTTATTATTTATGTTAGATCGGATCATTGATTTTGGTGTATTGAAACTCTTGCGTAAGTGTATGTCGGGATCGAGACAGGTGATTAACACATGGACATGTTTGTCAATTTGGAAACTTGGTTATGTAATAGTTTTGATACACTAAGAGTGGGTGACGTAAGTTGAATTTTGATACACTTGAGTGAAATTCTGATAATTTGTTGTCATATTTGTTGATCGGCATCAATACAACACTGATACACGGAAGAATGGTTATTGAAATGATTTCAAAATCCAGGAGTACTGGTGAAGATCTTATCCATTTTGGAACATGCAAATTAGGGGTATAAATATTTTAAAACGATACACACAATTTAGTATTAAAGGGTAAGCTCTGCCATCCCCAGAGACCTAGTGTTGAAAAAAACCATGCGTGCTGGCTTTAAGTTACATTTCCTTCGAGGTGATTGGGATTGAACGTATCGGTGATTGGGTTCCATCAATTGACAAAAATGTAAATTGCAGTTGGAGATGATCCGTTTCCCTACCTATGACCTTTTTTTTTTTTGGGGGGGGGGGTGATTAAACATGAAGTACTAATAATAGAACCATCAACATTTAATAAAAGAAAACTGCGTAGTTTCTAGTAATTATCCTAGCCAATACAGCTAAAAAGGAAAACCAAAGGATGTACAACTAAATTCATCCTAAATTAACAATTATCCTAATGACAACCTAAATAATTTCCTAAATACTTTCATATGTGATACTTATCCAATTATTCTTTGTTTCTACTGTATAGATAAATACACATTTTCTCTAATTACTATTATAACATATTCTTTAATTATTTGTTGTATGGAATTTTCATTAATGGCTTCATTGTGCAAGGAAGGAAAAACTTTGCTCTGCTTGAAGATTGAAAATAAGGTTGGACAAGAAAGAAAATAGTAGGATTTGTGGAAAATGATAAAGAGAAGTATGAGCTCTTTCACCATAAAAACACCAGAAATTCTAGTGCTTCAAAACAAAGTGTTGACTCATCAAATGAAAAGAAGATATTATGTCAAAGAGTCAACACTATGCCACACTCTTCTCACTATTTGGGCATGACTACTGTGTTTATAATGAATGGAAGCCGAGTGATTTTTGGAGAATAAGAAAAGCACCAAAAGACCAAGATACCATCAATTACAAAACATGATTACTAATCCTAGTTCCTAGCTAACCTAAATCACTATGTACTTGATAAAAACCTTACACCACTTTCACCCACTTCAGCATTGGCTTAAAGCCCATGTAACTTTGCCCTAACCTTGCAACCGCTTCAGAAAATAATCCATATGCTTAGAATTTTTATCGGAATCAACAATTGCAACATGTAAGTTTTGGTTTGCTTAGATAATCCTCCAGGAAACAAAAACTCAATGTGCTTGTTTTTATGAAGTTCAACTATTTCTGCAGATCCCATTTCACACTATTCTTTGATTTAACGTGTTTCTTAGCTTGAGATTCTGCTGTAGTAGTTTCAATTTGACAACTAATGGCAAATAAGTAGGAAGATCATTTCAGTATTTATTCCATGAAGTTTGAAAATAATTAGGGTATTTGGAAATCTTTTGTCAAACCGCCCATCATTCCTTGTAATCCAACAACGGTAGAAGATTTAGTTGTTTTGGTGGAAATGAGGGTTTATGATTAAATAATTGAGGAAGCGGTTACAAACTATAAAATTACTGCAATGCTTTCCAACGTAAGAAAATGCTAGAGTTTCTAGGGTTTGACACCCAGGTGTTGATTCAAAAGATAAAAATAATATTTTTAATCAGAGATTCAACATTATTTTGTTCTTTTCTCACCAAGCAGGATTACATTGTCATTTTATTGTGCCCTTATACTGTTTGTAGAAAAGATATCACCAGAAGACCAGAATATCCTTAATGAAGAATATGGTTACTAATGCTAATTCATAGAAAATCTAAACCACAAGTACCAACTACCAAGTAAAAAGTTTACATTGTTTACACACATTTTAACATCACCTTATACCCGAATAAAATCATAATGAAAATACGGTTCACCCTAATTTTGCAAATTCTCATTAGAAAATGGCTCATATGCCACTCTCGGGATAAAGAGTTGTGCATGAACTTTTACTTGCTTATACATGTTGTTAGGAAATACAAAATCAACATCATCAATATTGTGAAATTCAAATACTTCAGCAGAGCATCTCTTCGCTAATCATCTTTGATGATGTGGTCTTTTTCTTGAGCTTCAGCTTCTGCCAGAATAAGTACGAGTATCTCCAAGTATTTCTTCTGTGAAGTTTGAAACTGATGTAAGTTAAATGTCTTTTGCCAAGTTGTCTAGTCACTTTCAGCTATTTTGGTGGGAACGAGGGTTTATGAATTACTATTTCTATAAGTGATTAGGACTTGATCAAATCCTAGACTTATAGCATAGAAATGAGATATAGAGCTTTGATACCTGTTTGATGCATTACTGATGAAGGTAATAGATGGGGTTGGAAGAGCAAAGAATGGTGAAATATGTGAGATGAATTTATGCTCACAACAAAAGATTAGCCATGAGATCCAAGCTCACACAAAACAGTCATAAAGTCATTTATCTTATTACAACATGGAAATAAACCCTCCAGAATTAAACCTAATAGATCGGGACAACAACTGTATGGGTTGGGATGCTGGGTCACAAGGAAGGCCGTTGCGAGAAAGTTGCAAGTTTCGGAAATGAGGATGCTTAGGTGGACCATGTTAGACAGAATCTCGAACGAGATTTTCAGGGCAGAGTTGGGAGTTGCCCCAATAACATATAAATTGAGAGAGGGGAGATTGCATTGGGTTAGGCACTTTTGTAGGAGACCAGTTACGGCTCCGTGAGGAGAGTGGAAAGAGTGTTGGTCGATGGGGTGAGGAGGGGCAGGCTGAGGAGGACGTGGGTTGAGCAATTGAGGCTAGACGTGGCGGCCTTAGATATTTATGAGGACGTGACCTCTGGCAGGTTTACATGGAGACGGAGTACTAGGGTAGTAGGTTAGGGTGCCTGTAATTTCTCATTTGGGCAGAAGGGAGCCAGACAGGTTTTCCAGGAGGGGGGATGGAGGGCTGGCAATTTAAGCTCAAGATGGGGTTTTCACCTTATTTGCTCAGTTTGGGTTCTCCTTTCTGTTCACTACCCTGCCTTTTCTTATGTTCTCATTGTAGTTACTTTTTCTTATTTATTTTTCTCATGAGTTTACACCTCATGCTAGTATTTATTCTTGCTAACTGCTTGCTTACACTCTTGTACAAGCCTGGGGTCTTCACAAAAACAACCGCTCTACTCTTTCGGTTAGAGGTCTGGTCTATGTACATCTCATCCCTCTCAGACCCTACTTCGAGTGGGATTTATTGGGTCAGCTTAGTGTGGTTTGGTTAGAACCATGAAACCAGATAAAAAGAGAACTAAATTACTTCCCTAAGTAGTATTCTCATATCTTCAAGTCCCAAACTCAATATCTTTATTTTATCCCAAAATGTTGGCTCTATATCTTGGTGTTCCCATCCGGTCACATGTGTCTTGTATTAATAGTCATGTAATGTACCCCAAAACTTGGTTTATTTTTATAATTTCTTCTAATGTAAGTAGTATACTTGTTCTACTTTTACAAAACTCTTAGTACTTTACCAAATGTCTCGAGCAGTTCGCTAACTTTTCAAATCCTTCAAATCTTTCATTTACAAGTTGTATGGGTCTCCCACGACTTCTCCAAAACTTTTTCACAATAATATTAATCAATCTGGAAAGTGGTAAGGTCTGTGTACATTCTTTTTTTCAGACCTTACTTCCAACTGGGATATACTAGGTATGTTTGACTTGGTTTAAAACTAAATGCTTCCCTAACAATTATCCTAATTGATAAATCTAAGAATAAATCTGAATGACAAGGTAATAATTGTCTTCATAACCAAAAAAATTATCCTAAATGCTTTTGTATGTAATTCTTATCCTTTATTATTCATGACGAATCAAATCTCTCTTATATATAATATCCCCTTCGCGTCAAGAGGAAGTCTAGTTTACAATTTTTATTCCAAAAAGTACCTATTTCGGATATTTAAGTAAATGCGATGTTCCTTCATTTTTAAATATTAAATGAAGTACAATTTCAAATTTTTATTGGTAGTAATTTTTTATTTATTTGTAATCCTAGACTAAAGAAGAAGGCTTCTAATAATTCATGTAGAAAGGTGAGGCATTTTCCCGTTGCTTCTTTTGTTGGGTTGGTTGGAGTGCTTTAATCAGACTTGACCGAGTATTTCTGACCACATTCTCCATAGGACCCTCCTATCGCTTCCTTCTCCGAGCTCACGTTATGGAAGAAGGAGAAGAAGGAACCGACCCATCTTGGTTGCATTCTTTATCCTGAAAAGCTGGTCTAGTCTCCGCCCCTGCCTCTGGGCGGCCTTTGATCATCTCGGTGAGCCTTCCCTTATACATGAGAGAGGTCGTGTTGAAAATCCACACTTTTCCAAACCCAGAACAATTTCATCACTACATCGAAGGCTTTTTTAAATCGTATCCGCCTCTCAGCCAGTCATCGCCTACTCCTCCTAATCTGTCCATAACTTTTTCTTTATATTCCTTGTGAAGTGGACTCTTTTCTTTTTGGGATGTAGGGAATGATATGTGATTCCACTTTGTTAGAATTATGGATTTGAATATCCATTGATGTAGCCTCCCCCTCTCATTGAGGATGGGGAGGGCAATTGGTTATTAAATTAGTTATGTGATTGTAATATTTATTGAGCTTCCATACTCAGATTGAAGTCGATATTTTATGTTTGTTCATAGTCATTTTCACCAATGGATGCAGGGAAGAAGGCGCAATGCTAGTCACTCTGCCCTTTCATGGCTCAGGCTTCACTTTGTGTCCGAAAGAAGTGAGTCTGGAGCTAGTGAATCAGATTCGTATTGTATATCTGATGCTGGTTTGACTGCTGTTGCTGATGGATTTGTCAAACTGGAGAAATTGAGCCTGATATGGTGCTCTAATGCAACAAGTGCTGGCCTCAGATCTGTGGCTGAGAAGTGTAGATTTTTGAAATCTCTGGATTTACAGGTATATATTTCATCTCTATTTTTTTAGTGGGAAGTATGCTTCGTGTTGGTTGAGCTGTCTAATGTTACTTGGTAGAGGAATCTGAGCTAGTTTAGAATCTACACTGACCTCCAAATTAAGGCCGTAGACTTGTTTTTGACGCGATAAAACCTTATAGAGCATTAGTTCATTTAGTGTACTTACTTGGAGTAAACCTTTGAATCAAAAGTAGCATATAGTCTACATGTTGCACATTTGCACCCTTTTTTAAGAACTAATAAAATATCTAATAAACAGACTACCAGTATAAAAGATTTCAAGGATGGAAATCTGACTAGAGAACTTTGTTTTTTATTGACTGGATGCATTATTAAAAGCATGGTGTTCTACTACGTCTACCATTCTTATGTTTTATGTTGTCAGATGTGCAAGTCACTTTAACCTATGAAACAGATGAAGTTTGAATCTAATGTAACTTTAGTGTTTTATTCCTTTCCAAAGGGTTGCTATGTTGGAGATCAAGGTCTAGTGGCGATTGGCAAGTGTTGCAGGCAACTTGAAGTTCTAAATCTACGATTTTGTGAAGGTTTAACCGACACTGGTTTGGTTGAGTTAGCCCTTGGATGTGGGAAGACATTGAAATGGCTGGGTGTTGCTGCATGTGCTAAAATAACTGACATCTCATTAGAAGCTGTAGGGTCTCATTGCAGTTCTCTTGAGTTCTTGTCATTAGACTCGGAGTTCGTTCACAACAAAGGAGTGCTTGCCGTTGCGAAAGGGTGTTCTCTTCTGAAAAACTTGAGTCTGCAATGCATTAATGTTACTGATGAGGCTTTGACTGCCGTTGGTGTCTTTTGTTTGTCACTGGAGTCATTAGCGCTTTACAGTTTCCAGAGATTTACTGATAAGTTAGTTTCTCTCTTCATGTCTTCCGCTTTTCATCTACACTGCTCTTACTTGTGCTGAGATCTATCTGATGCAGTTTCTATGCTTTCTCGTTCATAAACAGTCTTGTTTATGTAATATCACATATTTAATGCGACATTTTCTTTTTATCTTGGAGATAGACCAATTCATTTGTCTCATGGTCATTACTAGAGAACTAGCTTAATATGCATGTTAACATGTTTTATATTGATGTAGAAATTTGAGGTAAAATTAACATAATTACCCTCCGGTCTTTTATCACATTATGTAGCATATGTAAGAACATTTGATCATATTTTACAGAAATTGGCGACTAGTAAACTTGTTCTCATCATATAAGCTGAAAACCATATTCTATATGTAGATCAGATGTAGGGACTAGGGAGTATAATTTCTTTATCTTTTCATCCACACAAACGGCTGGATTTTTAGAGATTAGGCTCTCCTATCTACATAGAAAGCAACCTTACCTTAGATTATATCCCAGCCTGGTAAGTAAGAAATGGATTACCATACCACCCCATTGACATCATACGCTCTACTGAAATAGATTTCACAGAAAACCAGCTTTGCTGTTAAAGCAGACCCTCAATGGATTTATTTCAAGGGAATCTCAATTCACATTTGTTCTAGCATTTTATAATTTTTTTTATATAAGATTGACATCTGGTTTGTCTAAATCTAAGTAGCAGGGAGATTCAGGTCTTATTTCTTTTTGAAAAGGATTCAACATGTGATGAACATACTACTTTACGGGATTTTTAAAGCAACACAATACTTATGTTGAATTGTGAGATAACTCGGTATTAATTTTAAAAGATTCTTGCTTCTGTCTGTGATGCAATTGAAAAACTCTGCATTGAGAATGAAATTGGTAAAGGCTTTTTTTGTTAGAACAATGTAAATTATGAGGCAACGAAGTTGAATATGCTAAGTTATCTAATGATGTATATTTATTGGCATATCAGGAGTCTTTGTGCCATTGGGAAAGGATGTAAAAAGTTAAAGAGTCTAATGCTTAGTGATTGCTATTTCTTGAGTGACAAGGGATTAGAAGCAGTTGCAGCTGGTTGCTCTGAACTTGCCCATCTTGAAGTTAATGGCTGCCACAATATTGGCACATATGGGCTTGAAAGTATCGGAAGATCTTGCATGTAAGTTTTCTCATCAGTCAATTTCTAAACGTGTTCGTGCTGTGTTTTTGCCTATGTTGTTATTGCGGTCAAAATACAAAATATCGGTCAGGACCGATATTCGATATTTCGGTTATATCGATGATATATCGGAGATATATCGGTCCAAAATAGCGGTTAATATAATATTTCTTAGAATTATATATATTATATATGTCATATGCATTAATTAGAGTTTAGAAATATAGTTTCAAAACTAAAACATCACATAAAAAAGTCTCACAAAACAAAATAGGAAAAGTGTTCAAAAACGAGCTAATCGCAAACAATAAGCGTGAACTGTGAAAGAGACGAGAAGAGAAGAAGCGTGAACTGTGAAGAACTGAGAAGAGAAGAAGCGTGAGATTTAATATATGTGTTAACTGGTTGACCAAATAAAGAGGCCCAAAAAACCAAGCCCGACATGTAATAAAAAAAAAGCCCAAACATTAGTCTTATAGAAAATCGGTACATCGGACCGATTTTTCCATCAAAAAATCGGTGAAATATCGGTAAATATCGGAGATATTATCGGAACCGATATTTTGACTGATATTTCACCAACGATATTTTTCCAGAGTCCGATATCCGATATATCGCGATTTTAACAGCACAGGTTTTTGCTCGACTAACCTCATCTCCACTGTAGAAGGCAGTGGGCCAAAATCCTTGTCTTTCTTTTCTTCAGCTGATGCTCTTGTATAATATGCATTATCTTCAAATATGTAACATCCTGTTGTGAAGCGGATTCTACAAACTGGAAATATAAGAAGTATTGGGGAAAATTCATCATGACTGAATGATTAATAATGCAAAGAAATGGAAATATCTAGCAATTCGAGAAGCTATGCTCTCTTATTAGAAGAGTTGAGCAAATATCTGCATGAATAGACCTACTATTCCCTCTTTTATTTATAGCTAGACTCCAACCCTAGCATAAACGGATTTCGCAAACTGCCCCTTTTTAACAGACTTGCTAACCATCAGGTGATGCCATATTTTCATTCCTGTGTTCCCCTCCTCTTTGAGTTTATGTGGATAAGTCCTATTATAGGTGAACCGTGTTGGGGGATGTTTAACACATCCTCACTCATTTCTAGGCCTCTTATCGAAGGCTTTCATAGATTCAATCTCTACCTATATGTTGTAAGTTGGCGCAATCTGCATCTACAAGCTTGTTGCTGCAGATCTGTGAAGGATCTCAGAAGTTGTTTTGCTTGTTCGCAATAATTAATACTATTTTTCTAATCCAAATCAATTGCAAATCAGTATGTATTTTTGTTATTGTGCTTGATTAGTTTTTTGAATGGGCATGTCCGTTAAATTGGCACCTATTGGGCTGGTAGGAGTATTTTTGTTCACTATGAGTTTATCCTGGATTCCAGTTTTGTTTTTATTTTGTTATGTTCTATCCATGAGGTGTTGATGTGATCTATGTTGTAAACTTTGTTGTCTGCTCTTTGCTCTTTCTGCCAATCTTATGTGCAGTTATAACTTGCGTAGGTAGTGTAAACGTGGCTTATTCTTCACAAGTTATTTTGCAATTTTGAGTTCATTTCACTAGTAATTTTCAATGCATATGATGTCTTGTGCGATTAATCTGTCTTTAGATTTGAATGTAGGTGCACTTGAACTGGTAATGTATGTGTCTGATACTGAAATCTTATAGGAAAGCAATATGGCATAACTAGAGTAGATATGCATGCACCTGCATAGAGAAATTACCAATGTGGAATTGATTAAGATGTTCCTGAAATGGCCAGCAGTCTTATACACCTGGAATGAGACTCATGTTAAATTTTAACATATCATCTCTTTGTAGTTTCTCCTTCCAGAATGCCTTTGCATCTTTCACTAATGTCTTCCATCCCTTGTTGGGCCATCCTCATGTAAACCTTGACATAAAATTTGGGAAAAATGTTATATTTTGGTAAAAAGAATTTGATGGATCCTACCTGATCCATCCAGATTTGATGAAATTGATTTCTAGTATGGAGGTGTGTAACTGTAAGTAATGGAATGAGCGGTTACCATTTTCTTTCCGTGTTTGTAGATGTACTTAGGATGTTCACAGGCTAGAAATTGTTCTCCTAAAGGTGGGAGTCTCCTGGAAATGAGGGAGGCCTGATCATTTATGATCGCTCAAGTTACGGGCATGAAACATAAAGAAAAAACATAAAGTGCATCCTTGCAGTCCTTGTTGAGTTCTTCATCGCATTCATATCTAGCGTTCCTTGAGGCTTACTTAACTCAACTGGGATGACATTGATGCTAAGGTCGCATGCATCTTTGAGGAAGAACACAAGTTTGTGACACTACAACGGTTGGCTTTTGTTAGTCTGGTATCTATATATTAACTTCTATGTTTTCACATAATATTTTGATTTCATTATGAAATAGCAAAGGTAAATTTTAAATTTGCCACAAATGTAAAATGAGTGTTATAATTGGACAAATTAATGTGTCCATTTAACTCCGCTCAAATGATATGCACTAGAGGGTCCCTCAGCCGGTTAGCTTTGCTCAAGTTCAGAATATCGACTTTTTCTTGAAGTTCTATTACTCTTGTTGTGGCATGGTTAGTTCGTCTGTATCCTGAACTTTAATAAGTAGCTTGCAGCCATTACATTCAGATAGAGCTCTAATCTCCTTAAAGGTGATTTTTCAAATCAAATTATGAACACGAAATGGTGAACCATTTAACCTTCATTAACTTAAGTATTGCATAATTTACTCTTGAAACCCAACTAGAATTTCTCTTGCATAGGGTAATTAGTTCACACACATTGCTAGTTTTTTTCTTCTCATGTTGCGTATGTAAATATTATATACTTCAAAAAGAAGATCAGTGGCCTTATTTAAAACTTGCTTCTACATAATAATCTGTCTAAAACATTTCCGATTCTTCTGTTGTTTTTGGTTCTTTATTTCTTATAATTGTTAGTCATGGTACTTCCATCCAGTTATTTGTCTTGCTAGTGTATTTTTCATAATACAGACCCATATGTTCAATGGCTATCACAATATGATGCTAGTGGATGGCTTTTGCCATTGATTGAGATATATATATATATATATATATATGGCATGTTCATTTGTTTGGTGAAGAAGTTAATGCAAGTACGTTTGCAGGCGCCTTATGGAGTTAGCTTTATTATACTGTCAAAAAGTAGGAGATGAAGCCCTGTCTGAGGTTGGTAAAGGTTGCAAGTACTTGGAAGCTCTTCACTTGGTGGATTGCTCAATCATTGGGGATGATGCCATATACAGCATAGCTACAGGTTGTAGGAGTTTGAAGAGGCTTCATATACGCAGATGTTATGAGGTATTCTGTCTCTCATTTACGTACTTGTGTGACTATTTGCCTGTTATATCATTTTTTTCCTGTTTCACCATCACTTAAGTTTTACGGCTCGTTTACCCAAACGCTTACCCGGTAAGAGTTGACACTCGCTTACATGACTGGTAAGCGCTAACCGGGTAAGATTTGTCACCCTCACTTACCGGGTAAGACTGTCCTTGCCATCGCTCGTACTGGGTAAGATTCTCGGTCCTTGTCATGTTCATTCAGTGAGGTAAGTGACCCAGTGAGCACTGACCAGGTAGGCGTGGTAAACGGTCCCTTAGTCTAATTAAGTCTTGGATTAACTAACTTATTCCAGAATTTTATTTTTATATTAATTGAACTCTCTTGATGTGGGCTGTGCCAAAAAGGATGTATTTTGATATTTTGCACTTTTCTATTGAAAACACCATAGTCCTACGAAGAGCCTTTCTTTATTCTATCTACAAAAGAGACCTCAAGGAAACTGTGTGTTCTGTAGTCCATTTGTGAGAGAATTTGATTTTGTTTGATATATGTCTGTCCTGCTGTTGAAGATTCTTGCACCCGTCATAGATACTAATGTGCATCTCTCTGTATTCATAGGTTGGGAGCAAGGGAATTATAGCTGTTGGTGAAAACTGTAAATACCTTACAGATCTTAGCATTCGGTTTTGTGACAGGTAAAAACTTCTGGTTTCACATATTTCATGCAAATTAGGCGACCTTGGTTGCTTAATGAAAGTATATTTGATGTTGATTAATCCAGAACTTGTTATTACGTTAGTACCCACTTTCCATGCATGATTTCTGCAATGAGTAAACATGTGTAGAATTTTTTTAACTTATATGTTATTGGGTTATTTTATCATCTTTCACCGGTGTGTCCAACTTGGCACCATTTGTAAGGATGTTATGGCACCTAATTGTTTCGTATTCTTTTAGATGCTAGGGTATAAATAATTAGTACTGCAACCAGCATCACCTCTAGTGCTGGTATTTTCTTAGTTCTTTATTGCCCCATGAGTAGTTAGGCTGATTGCCCAGCGCCTGGATGCATTTTGACAACAGGCATTCTTAGGCCCTAACACCTTGGATTGGTTACATGGTAAATAGAGAAGGTTTTTATCCTGTTATCTTGTTATGCCTATAATAATATAAGAACAAGAATTTATATGATTTTTGGGTATATCATAAACTACGTAGAGAGTTTATTATTATCTACAACTCTGCTAATAATATATAAAGATTCATCATAAACTGCATACAATTTAGTCTCCTCAGTAAGAATTCTTTATATTGCTGATGATCCTAGTTGTTTTAATATAATTGCTTAGATTGTAATTTTGTTCTTGGTGAAAAACAAGCAACATATTTCATAATAACAATAATATCGTATCTAGTAACTCATGGCATTGAGTAGCACAATTTTATTTTAGAGAGACTGTCTGACATTGTGATCAAATATTGCACATGAGCTCTGTTAATGCTAAAGCTTATTCCTTCACATAAATGGCAATGGCTTCCATTGTTGTGTCTATACTCATCCCTTTTTCATGTTCTAAAAGTCTTGTATTCAATGGAATTCTTTTGTTCAATGTATGTTCTTATTTTAGATCTGCCATATTTGTTGATTGAGTTATATTCTCAACTACATCTAAAATATTGCAGGGTAGGCGATGAAGCTCTGGTTGCTATAGGCCAAGGCTGTCCCTTTTTACGCCATTTAAATGTTAGTGGCTGCCACCAAATTGGAGATAAAGGAATAGTAGCTATTGCAAGAGGGTGCCCTCAGCTAAGTTATTTGGATGTGAGCGTTCTTCAGGTGACATCTCTCTCTCTCTCCCTCTCTCTCCTCTACAGGGGGGGTGTGTGTGTGAATGTGTGCCTATACATAGAGTAGCAACACTTTTCCATTAACCATGTTACCAATTCAGTACGAAACTGTATCCCTCTTTCTTTTTGTAACAAGAAATTGTATCCCCTTCGTTTTTATCAGAGCAAGAAATTTCACTACTGAGACAAACTTTGTCATACTTGATTGTGGAGATACGGTGAGGGTGAAACCTATACTTCTGTGAAGGATGGTGATATCTTGATAAGAGAAGTTCTAATTGGGGCTTTTTCAAAATAAAGCATTTAGTACAAACTGAAATGAAAAAGGTGATTATTAGGACCTTAGGTTGATGAGGGCAAGACGGTGGGTTATGACCTTTTTTTGAATTCCTTGGTCAATTTTTCCTTTTCTTGCTCTAATGATTTGTCTTCAGTCTTCATCGATCTATTTTGTAATGTTCAATAAGGTCTCGATGTTACTGTGGCCACCGTTCTGCTTCATATATTACGTGTATGGGGCCTCTAGAATTTTGTTAATTTTCTTTGTTAGTTAATGATTCTTCCACCAAATGTGAAGGGCACTGATTTCAACAGTCAAGTTATTCCTTAAAAAATTTGTTTACCAGTATATTCTCATCTAGGTTCTTACATGAAGGGATGAAAATGCTGATGTGGCAAGAGTAGGGGTTGATTAGGAAATAAACAACTGAGGGTTGGGTCTAACAAGTTACTGCTGCTACTATGATGTGTGTATATATGTATGCAACCGCATAGCAGCATGATGCTGATTAATGGACCTTGCTGTCAAGGCCATTCCAATATTTTTGAAGGCCCTGCTACATCAGTACCAAAACTATAGATTGATAGGACGAGTAATAATCAAAATATAAAAGTTCATACCATATATATTTAAGTCTTACAAATTAAAACATCAAAAAATCTCTTTAAACGACAAAGTAACATATGAAATTCACTTAAATAGAATCATTCTTCTAACATTCTTTGAAAGTCGGAATTGGGAATTGCCAAATTGGCTAAAAGAGAGAAAACCTACGACATTATAATTGGGCTAAAGGTTAAAACATATATATAAGGTTAAAACATGTACAATAGGGTCCCAAAAATATTCGGAGCTATGTTCCATCTCACATTGGAACACCCTCTGGTGCGGCCTTGCTTATTGCTGATCTCCACAATGGCAGCACAGCTGCTGGGGCGAATTAGGAATTAAGGTTTTGGTGTTGTGTTTTGTTATTGCCATCATGACTGACTGCAGTTGGTAATTGTATTCTTGTAGTCTCCTTGAGATTGATTTTGTAAAAGAGAGCTTGATTCAATGGGATTGGCAACTAATCTATCTACTGCAAAAACTGGCTAGTTGGGATGTTGAGAACTTGACGATGAAGGTTAAAACTGTTTCTTTTTTGTTTTTGTCTTCAACTGTCTCCTAATTCAAGAAGAGGTTCCAACAGGTCACAGTCTATAATCTTTTTTTTGTCAACAGTCCAAAAACCTTTTCATATTTCATTGTTTAGCATTATAATGGTTTTGATGATGCTAAATTATGCTTCTTTAGAGTTTGAAAAAAGGGCCGTTTTGTGTACTTTTAGTAATCATTGTGCAAATCGTTCAAAAAAAAGATCTTCAAATATCTTGTAAATGCATGGATGCGAATCTGGATCAATCAACAGAGCAATTCCATTCCAGTATTAGTCTCAAACCCATATTCAATGAAAGGACTTTTTGTTCAATGCTTCCATTGATTTTGTAAAACTTGTCCTTGACCTATTTATATATTTGCCAAAGCAGCTCCCATTCTTTTTTCCATGTTTTCATTTATTTTTGAATGAATATTTATGCCGTTCAGTTTATTAGCACAAAAAGATTACTAATCAATCAAGAAAAATTCCAGTTTGAAGTGATGTTCACCATCACATGGACTTTTTTATGTTAATCTCATGGAGTGCTTTTTAGTTGCACAAATTTAATACCTCCTACATTGTGTCTCTTCATTCTTCAAGTAAATTTGATTCTCTGTATGAAGTCCCTGTCTCCTTGCTTTATGGATTCTTATATGCGTCCTGGCTCCCCTTTAAACTTTATAGTTGGAATATGCCATTAATCGTCTTGTGTCCTACTCTGGAGCCAACCTAGGGGTATTTGGAGAACTGTGATCTAATGAATGACCTGAAAAATGTGTCCTCTTGATGAGCAAAGTCATGTGAAACAGTAACTTATAACAAAATTAGTATAACCTTCCTATCTGGTTTCACTTGAGTAGACGACACCATGCTAATAAATTTCCTACTTACAGAGAACAGAACATCTTTTTCTAGGTAATGATGGTTTTAGATGTTCTTATCCCGTGCTCCATATATCCTAGATTGTTACAATGCATAGTTATCTACTTTCTACTTCCACTTTTTTGTTTTTATCTAGGCAAATGAGGACGGACTTTTGCCTATTGAATTCCATAAGTAATGAACATGGATGCGACTCCTATCTTGTTCAATTGGTCTGTCACTAAAAGGATCTCTCTGTCTATTGAGACAATTGTAAGGTCTGTGCACATCTTATCCCTTAGACCCTACCTGAGTGGGGATATACCTGGTTTGGTTTGGTTTTAATGGAATGTGGTTATCATTTCATTTGGTGAGCACCAGACTCTATACCCTTTTTGTGTATAATGAAGTTATGATTATGGACAGAATTTGCGCGACATGGCGTTGGCAGAAGTAGGCGAAGGATGCCCTTTACTAAAAGATATAGTGGTATCGCATTGTCGTCAGATAACAGATGTTGGTCTAGCTCATCTGGTTAGAAGCTGCAAACTGCTTGAAAGCTGCCACATGGTGTATTGCCCAGGTATTACTGCAGCTGGGGTCGCTACTGTGATCTCTAGCTGCACCAACATGAAGAAGGTTTTGATTGAGAAGGCAAAGGTGAGCGAGAGGACTCAACGACGTGCAGGATCCGTCATCTCCTACCTCTGTGTCGACCTCTAGGCTAGCGGACTTTGTTTGCTTTGGAAACGGATAGATGCCCAAATTCCCTTTTCTTGTACTTTCGATTGTGTTGTAACGAGTGTATTTCTTTACGATCGATGTTGCTCTATTCATGTATGATTTATTTGTGTTGGTCTCAGAAAACTAAAGCTTCTGTTTTCTTATGTAGATGCATTTTTATGAACTAAATACGATGTACCCCTTCTTAGGGCATAATCTTTTGACAGGATTAGGAAGCTTCTTTCTTTGGTGTGTTCCTCCCCACAGGGCAATGGTTTGAGTCACTGTAAAGCCAGCAGAGATGCAACACCCACGGTTAAAAAACTTGCAAAATTAATGATCAAAGAGGTTTGTTTTATTTTTCACCTTTAATAAATGGTTAGTTTTATGTAGGAAAAAAAGGCAAAATACATGAATATGTCGGTGTATTTTCGCAATCAGTCGTTGACTATATCTTGTGAAAACCTCTGTTATCTGTAACCAAACATAGGCCTACAGTAGCAAGTATAAGCCTATGGTACAAGCGTTTTCTCGACTTTTGAGCGGCCTGCAGCTGCATAACTCAACATCATATATCTCATTTTGAACAGAAGAAGAAATTGAAAATGAGATTGCTGCTTCTGGTTTGCCATATTCACACTATTTTCTGCTTTGGTTGAATGATCAAATTCTATCTGATTCTGTTCCCGTGTATAGAACCAGAGTTCCCATTTTCGTTGTATCTTGCATTTGACAATCTTACATTGTTTGGCATAATGTGTTTATATACGATTTCAGAACATGATGCATAAGATGTTCATATAATCAGCAAATGGATGAACAAATCGATTTGATCCTTTATCCATGCAAGATTTGACCTGTGTCTAAATTGGTAGGTTTATACTGCCGTAACAATTAATTTGGCATCATTGATCTCTTGTGAAATAGCTGGAGAAGTAAATGAAAACCAGAAAGCAAAAACTCAAAATCAAAAGCAATGATGTTATGTGACTTGTACCTCATGGAATTGTAAGTAATTGGTACATTACTTTAGCTAATGTGGAAAAGGGTCATCAATTAAGTCCAAAATTTTACTTGTAATACAGAAAAAGATCTTCCCTTTTCTTGCATAAATTACCCCCAGGAATTGAGTTGCAGCATGGGGTCAAAAGCACCAGCATTGAAAACAGAGAATATGGAACCAAGCAAACCATAACACAAGTATGAGAAACTGAAACACCAAACAACTACCATGTAGAGGGGAAATATGATATGCATGATGCAAGCGATTGCTAAGCAGGTCCATTGAAGAGAAACTGATAACTGAAAGAGACAAGCCAAAACACCAAACAAAACCAAATCCAACCAACTTACCTCTACCCGAAAGAGTAGAGCGGTTGTTTCGCAAACGTACGAGCAAACAGGTAGAATGGAGAAAGACTAAGCACGTGGTGACTATAGAACTACAAAATTAAGGAAAAGAGATAAAGATAACGAGGGGTATGATGCAAGGAGAACTATTATGCGATGGATATTGTATTGATGGATCGAGAGAATTCGAAAAAGGATCTCCATGAGCTGCAGCTCTACAAGTCCAAATTGGGCAAAGCCAAATGATTATCTAACATATGGCTGAAAAGAATCATGTGTAACACTTACTTTAACAGAGATATTATGCACCCAGTTCTGGCAAGAATTTAAGAATGAGATTGCCAACCCAATATAAACTTCTGATTCATTTTAGTCCACAGGTAACTCAACCATAAAGCTACCTGCCCCTGAAAGGAAAGTCCACTTACGGGGATTTGAGTTGAGAAATATATAAAACAGAAGCCCTAAAAGTACAAGCTAATTCTCTTGGTAGCAGAACCCAGCCATGATTTCTCCCAAGGATAAAAGAACAAGATATGAGTTGATCCTCAAGCCCAAACAACACCTGCATGTACCACGTATAAATAACAACAAATGAAACCCAACAGAAAGACAATTAATGGTTATAGTGATAACAATAAATATCGTCTTACAGATACATTTACATAAATACTACTTTCAGATGATGTCTCTACACACACATGATCCATGTAATTCCACCAACTTCCCCTCACGAATAGGGATATAATATTCTTCCATAAACAGCATTCATCTTCCATAAGGAATATATTCAAGAGTTCATTAGCAACATGAACTCATCATAAATGATAAATAAAATGAATTTAAGCATTCGGGAAGGTACTACACATGCCACTCCATGCATGAAACAAATAATAAACACAAAATGATAATTCTATCTCCTCAACAACTCTTCTAACATCCATTAGAACTGGAACAAAGCGCCTATCCGTTCTGATTAATCAAAAGTCACAAACAAGTGATAATACCATTGGCATTTAGCATATTAAGCATATTGGCATGTCTCAGACAAAACCACCTTCATTTGCAAACTGGATACTATTAAATGGGGTCAAAATAAAATCAAGCCCACATATTTCTTCCAATGCTTCAAAAGAACAAAGGAAAGAGAAGCGCTAAAGAAGACTAATTTCTACACAGTTTCAAGTTTCCAACTACAAATCAAGTAATCTACCATTATTTGAATAACTGTCTGTCACTCCATCTAAGTTCAGAAATGAAAAGAAAATCAGAAGGATCTCCTCAAATAATAATCCATGACATCTCCAACTGGATCCTAAATCGAGAGATCAGTGCGAAATTGCTTTTATATTAATAGGACACTGGCGCTATATGGACTCATACTGCATTTTTGCTGTCAAGCAGTTTCAGCTTTCTGCAAATTGCAAAACTGGTACTCAAACAAAAAAATACATGGAATTATTGTAATGACAGCATAGTGAGTTAGTAACTTGTCATCAATTTTGATGTTCTTAGAAATATACTCTAATTTAACTTTCGAACCATTTTACAGTAGAAAAGTAACCATTTAACACTCAAATCAAAGTATGGCCCTTTCTCGATCATCATACATGTTGGGGAAGTTATCAATTTTCCTTCAATCATAGAAGTTGAGAGCAATTAAATCATATGCAAAGTTGAACACTTGTCCATTTCAATGGAAATTCGAACTGCACTTGTTCCCATATGGCAAAATCCTGGTTTTTTCTAATGATGCGATAAAATGTACACAAGCATGTAAATACATCCAAAGAATGTGGTGGTGGTGTATAAGAGGACTGAAATCAGGAACTTTACCAATTAAGATTGTGGAGGTGTGGAAGACGAAGAATCAGGAGATTTGCCACGAAGATCTGTGATTATATCGACTAATTGCTTCCGAGAAGATTCTCTGCCGAACATGAATCCATACCTAAGTAGGAGACGATTAATACTAATAAATAAAATAACAACAACATCTGGAAGTGAAATAAGAAGAAATGAGTTGAATTAGGGTTTGGAAATCACCAGAAGGAGACGGCAGAAAAGAGTCCGGCGGTTGCAACCGTTTGGATGAGAGTGAAGCTCTTCGCCATTTTCAGTACATGCAGATTCTGTAACGCAATCAAAAAGACATTTTCCGGTCTCAATTTACAGATTTCAGAATTTACACACACCCATTGATCTGGTAACGGGCAAATTGCATGAAAAAGTAACGTACTTTCACTTGATTCTTATTTTGGGTAACGTAATTTCAAAACTTTCATTTTGGTACCTAAGATGTAAAGTTTTAAACATTTAAGTACCCGGATAACTGGTTGAAGTATTAACCGATTATCATACTGATGTGGCGAGTGATGTGGTATCCAACTCGGTATTATTTGTTGACCTAGTCAATGACGTGGATTTTTTTAATCTAAAATTAGTCTTTTTTTTTTAGTCTAAAATTAGTCTTCACTGGGTTATCCGGGTACTTAAATGTTTAAAACTTTACATTTTAGGTACCAAAATGAAAGTTTTGAAAGTACGTTACCCAAAATAGGAATCAAGTGAAAGTATATTACTTTTTCATGCAATTTGCCCTTTGGTAATTGATGAATTCTTTTTCATAAGAATTAAAATCTGAGAAAATTATAAAAAATCATCTTCGGGTTTTTGTTTCATGATTTAAATAATCATAACATGTATCGATTAATGGCTACGGAATAGTATGATGCGAATAGTTAAATCGTAGAACGGTTAACAGACTTTGTATGATGTAGTGTAGAATGAAATATAGTTTTTGTAACTGTTCTGAATAGACAGTTTACATAACGATAAATTACCATTTTAAGGCTCATTTTTTTTGTTGATAAAATCATTAAAATAATGCACCTTCTAATTCACATATCCAAAACCGATCTTTTGTTTTTCAAATAAAACCATAATAAGATCATGTCCTTTTATATCCATAATAAAACCATAACACCACCTTATTTCCCCCAAAACATCTTCAAATATGACACCATTAGTAATGCAAATAACAAGTATCATTCCGAGAACTCCATACCAACCCAACCTTAAACCTCTTGCAATCAGGCATACAACCATTGCAAACAAAGCATCCATATTATACTATCTTCCTATTTGCATGTAACCAAAGTGCAACTGTATTTCAAGTAATCAGAATTTGGTCAAAGATTAAACAAAACCAAAGTTCGAACCAAGCTTTACCATAACTCACAATGAACAAAACATGTATTGGGTTCATGTTCACAACTTCATATTACATGTTTTCATATATTTCCAATGATTTCCTTCCTAATGATTCACTAGTTTTAGATTATCATGAGCAGGTTCTAACAGGGTCGGCCCTGAGATTTTTGGTGCCCACGGCGAAAAGTCCAAATGATGCCCAATTAAAAAACATCCAAGTGTGGTAATTTACAATTGTCTAGCTTTTTCCTTCATAGACCGAGTGACCTATTAGTGTTTTTTGTTCATAAGTGTGATCTTGTAGTTGAAAGTTTGCTTTAAAATAATATGTTAAGGTTTCTTTAATCAAGTTGTTATAGCCTTTGCGTTTAAACACCAACTCATCTACTTGTCCAAAACCAAAATAAGGAGCATCATAACACTAACTCATCTACTTGTCTCATTTACAATCCCACGTCTTCTATATAAACCAAAATCAACACTCGTACCTTCTCAATCCAACTCCAAACACTTAATTGATTGGTTCTTCTTCAATTATTTACACTCCACAACATCAATGGCTCATTCCTACTTCACTAATTTTGTCCTCCTAGTTTTAGTCACTTATGGTGTTTGCCTATGAAATTAGCTATTGCATGACTCCATTAGTCCATCATGTGTTTCATATAATCATATTTGGGGTCTTGACCAATGACGATCATGAGTTTCATATGTAAAATTGCAAAGTTAAGGGAGAACAATCAAGTGAATTAGCTACTGCACATTCAAGTGAGGGCAAATCATCACTTAACTACTGCACATTCATAGGTTTGTTCAACTATATTATAGTTCCTGAAATTGTGTTAATATACATCAAAATCTAACGGGATTAGAACAAAAATCGGTGGATGATAACTTGAATATTAATCACAGAATGAAGAACTAAAACTCCAGAGATAGGCTTGATTGATTCGATGAACAACTAGATCAAGTAATAACAATAGTATTCATTTAACTTTAAATAAACATAAAAAGTATAGAACTTATGCCATGAACAACAAAACTTCAGTTGAAACCCATGAACATAAAAACTTACTTGTGCAGTTGAATAGTCAAATCTAAGAGAAATAAGGAATATTAATCTTACTACCAGGCTACAGATAAGTTTGATGACATACACAACAACTTACCATGAAATGMATAATGAATCTATTATCGACAAGAAACAACTTTTTATSRTTTTGGCTCTTGCTATGTAATGATTAACATTTTAACATTTGGGTAAACCTAAACTAAACAGAATAACTTAAATGATCCGAAGTCCTAACCTAAACTAAACANAACCTAAACTAAACAGAATAACTTAAATGATCCGAAGTCCTAACCTAAACTAAACAATTAAACAAAATAACCCTAAATCCCTAATCTAAACAAAAKATCAAATCTYCAAATAACAATCTAAATTATCTAATCCTAATCTAAGCTAAACTAAAGTCTAAACAGGAAACATTCAAAYATAAAGTGATCAAATCAAATAAGAATTAGAAATCATAAAATAACCCTAATCTAAATAGACTAAACTAAACAATAAACATCAAACATAAAACACTATAAATCAAAATTTAGAAGAATAGAAGTTTAGCAAATAAAACAGAGATAACCCTAACCTCACAAGTCACAAGTCATCAGATTTTGAGCGGTCGAGAGTCGAGAGAGCGAGAGCGAGAGGGAGAGGCGAGAGTCGACTACCGAGTGCCGACAGTGGTGAACTGGTGATTTCAATCAACAGTTCGTACTCGGTACTTCTAGAATCGTCAATCGAATGTGGTGATTTGAGATTTCAATCAGCAGAACAGAAATACAGAATCGATTCGTGAGTACGCGTCAAGCGAGGAAGAGACTAAGAGAGAGAGAGCAAGGCCGATTGTGTTTTCTTTTAGTGTTATCTGGCAAAGGTAATTTTTTAGGCACAAATCAGAATTAAACCTATATATTTATATTGGGCTTTACAAAATTGATGCCGACCTTTTGCTGCCCTAGCCGTCGTCCCTTGGGTCTAGGGCTGGCCCTGGGTTCTAACCACTTTGAAAATACAGAAGCCTGTTTGTTGCAGGTTTCCTTTACACCATTGGTTTTAGGTACTCCAAACACAATCGATGGTGTAAAATAAAGTGAAATAAACACATAATTGGATGCTAAGGTGTTTGCACACTTATCACATTTCCACATTTAAACTGGTGCTTGTCCCCAAACAACTAAAATGACAACTTAAAATAACTAAATACTAGAAATTTGAAAGAAAATTTGAAGGGTGAAAATGAAAATTTTAACACATAATGAGATTGAAGCAAAAGAACACCATAGCCATGCATAATTCTGTGTGTTGTCAATCCTTCCACTTATTTCCATAGGCCAAGAGTCACACTTCCTATTGTTAGACATCTACCAATTGCTAAAATTCAGAATCATTAGGACTTTTATTGGTTTTTCTTCTTTTGAGACTTAATGCATTCTTTCTTCAATTTTTATTCAAGCTTTTCTGTAATGCACAAACAGTGTATATGTTATGCATATTTGATCTTTTCTGCTTTGACTTGAACATTTTGTACTCTATGCAAAAAAAAAAATTGAGCTTTGAGCTTTTAGCTACTGTCCTTTGGACTTCTGTTGTATACTAGTACATATAGTGCATACACCCCTTCCCCCACACTTGAATGGGTCAATGTCCTCATTAAGGTTTCTTTAAAGGATAGGTTCATGGATTCAAGTGATAGTGTGTAGGCTAATGTATAGAAAAAGAATTGCCTAAGTCATATTCCAAAATAGCAAGTTGGGATGTCTGTTTGCTTCCCAGGTGGGTGTGTTTGGTTCTAGCCTTAAGTGTTAGGATGGAATTTTAACAATAAAATTAATTGGGATATGGTATGTTAACATTCAAACAATCTCATAAACTCCTAAAACAAAATTCAAAGTTCCCAGACTCTATATATAAACTGAAAAAATAGAAAATCAAAGATTATGGAGCTAAGGTGAAAGAAATGGACCTGCCCTACTTATTGGGAGTAGGGGGTGCTGCTATTGAGGAATGAACTCCTCAGCTTCTTTGATAAGCTCTGGTGGGTAAGGCCCAATACTTGTATACTCTGTTGGGTTATCCATGGCCCAATCAAACTCCATCACACCATCCCTCTTCATCTAGTAATTTCTTTGTAGAGTAGTGAGCTTTCTCATGTTCAACATAGCCTTATCTTGTTATTTCAAACAGGCCAACAACCTCTACTCACTCTTCTCTACCTTTGCCTCAAGCCCCTTCTTTTTCTTCTCCATTCTTGCCATCCAGATAGCATCTCTCTCTTCCAACTTCCTCAACAAATCCTCATGATGCTTCTCCATTCTTGCCATCCAGATAGCATCTCTCTCTTCCAACTTCCTCAACAAGTCCTCATGATGCTTATCCATCTCCTTTATTACATACAAGAATGAGTTGGTTACAAGGTTGGGTTGTGGTATGGGTGCAGGCTCGGGTGCAGGCTCTGATCTTGGATCTTTCTTGTTTTGGTTGAAGTACCAGCAACAGGAGCAGGGGTGGTGGTTTCAGCAGCCATAACCTGTGTTGCAACAATGGCAGTCTTCTTCATTGCTTTCTATTGGGTTTAAGTTGTGCTTAATTGTTGATCCTCTCTCTCAGTGATTTGATGATAATCCCTTTTCTCTTTTTACGTTGTATTTGTGTTTTTGTATTTTCAGTTCCAGCGATCTTCACTGAGTATGTTCAGTGATCGCTGAAGAACTTGCATTGTAAATCTATCAAAGACAACAATACTTCAAGAAGACAACATTCACACCAAAGAACCTTTAGCAAACGTCGAAGACTGAAACTGAAGATTAGAGACCGGCGAGTACGTGATCTGAAACGGTATTCAGTGA